AGGAACATAATTTTATTAAAATTTAAATGGTATTTGGTACATTACATTAGTGACTTGACTGCTGGTCCCTAGAGAGAACTTATTAAGTGTAAAGTTCATTACCCTAACTACTTTTAAGTTCAGTAGAAATCTGTTTGGATAGACCAAATTTCAGTTAAGTTTGAGTCCTTCTGTAATATGAAATTCTGGAAATACTTCATTTATAAAATGTAAATTTTGAGATTTAGTATTTTTTATTTTCTTTATAATCATAATAAAACTGGCCAAGGGTTTCAAAAGTGATTGTTACATTTTTAGGTGTCCAACTTGAGAAACCTTCAAGGAGCCTGATTTTTTTCAGCAGGTTGGATGCTCAGTACTTTCTGAAAACTAGGTGCTCCTTATTTTGTCTTTTTTCATGCATGCAAAGTTAAAACCAGAAAGTGTTAGCCACTCATCAAAAGGGAGTTGGTCTGTACTAAGTAGTTGTATGTTGTAGATGTTCACTCAAGTATTTTGTTTTTCAGAATCCAAAATGATTGAAAAGCATGGAGGATACAAATTCAATGCTCCAGTTGTGCCAACTTCATTCAATTTTGGAGGCCCAGCACCAGGAATGAATTGAGTTATCACTTCTTTTCCTGCTACTGTGTGATTGTAGTGAAGAGCTTGTGTTCCTCCCAATAGTGGTTCCAGAACTGGTTCATGTTATCTACAGCTCACTCTAAACTAATTGATAAATAGATTGGACAAAAACCCCAGGAAGTGGGGCATGATCATGCAACCTAATACTGGAAAGCAAACCAGAGGTTTTCTGAAGATAGGAAGAACTTGACTAAAGCTTCAAATGACACACTTTGGAAATCTGAAATCAAGAGGGGATGTCATGATGGCAGCTTTTCTTTTTCTGAGGAAAAAATAGGCATGGGCTGCAGGACTACTTAAAATGTCTCATTTACAGTACAAACCAGAAGGCCGACTTAATTTTTACAACTGTGGCAGTATGAGTATTTGCCCAATTTCTTTCCCTTACCCTCCTTCCTGTTGGATGTCTATTCTTTTAATGTAAATAAGATAAGGTAATCAGATAGCCTTACTTAATCTTCATCATTTCCATTTATCAAGATTGTTCATATGTAGAATATTGGACACTTAATGTAGCACTACATAACTGATAAATCTGTAAATGAATTAGCACTTTCATATTGAAACAAGCCTGCTAGCCTATGTAAAAAAATAGCAAAATGTTTGCTGTTTATTTAAAAAAAAAAAAAAAAAAAAGGGATGTAATGGGGAAAATAATTTCAAGATATTAATTTAAAATGAACTAGCAGTTTTGTACCTGGTGACTTTGTGGTGCAGTCACCTCTGGTTGTGACTTGAATTCGGTTATGTAAAAAAGGGGTTAGTGATATTTCATTGCTGCTAAAAAAAAAAAAAAAAAAAAAAAAAATGGCAACACCCTCTGTGTCTTTTGTTTTTCTTAAAGCTTTTAATGTACGAGTGGAAATTTGGATACGAAAATTTAATGTAAGCACAGAGAAAAAATTATCTTCTCTGACGTGTGTACATTGGACATTAAGTTCTGCTCTTAAAGAGTTGATTGAAGCGTGTGGATGAAACATCTATATATGCAATCTATTAAAAAAAAAAAAAAAAAAGAAGAAGAAAAGAAAGAAACAAAAACTTAATTCGGCTAACCTGGGTTTGATCTATCACTGCAGTTTTTCCTAATTTTGCAAAATAATTTGTCCTGACTCTCTTTTTTTCAGCACCTAGTAGTGGTTTTAACCATTACACTTCCTTCCCCCCGTTTTTGCACTCCCAGCATTAGTGTGTGCTTTTGTTTGCCTGATCTAGACAGGACATTGGAAGCTTCAACAATCTTTCATTCTTGAAGCCACCATTTTTTGTCCTTTCGGTTGTTTATAGTACCTAGTATTTTAGCTAGAAAGGCAAAATACAGCTCCCTCTGGGACCACTATCAAAACCACTGAATGAAGAAGCCAGCAGCAAGAGGCTGTGAATGGGTTGGGTTAGATCCCCTTTTTTTCTTCTGAAAATCTAAATTCATAGTTTCTTGATCTTGCCTTGAGATCATTGTGTCAAATCTTTTAAATCAAATGTTTTTTTTTCTTTTGGCTGTTTTTATATTAACTGTCACCTGCTGTTACAACCGATATTAAACAAGCTACCTTAATTTAAATGTAAGCCTCCAAAATTTAAATGCAGGTTAAAAAAGAAAGGAGTTTATATCTGTAAAAATTAAACTGAAATGCACATATATATATTATGATATTCAAATGCAGTCTTCAGAAAATTGGTTTGTGTGGTGTGTTTTTTTTTCCCATCAACAGATTAGCAGGTATCCAGAGTTTGGGGTTTCCCTCAGTTGACCAATAATAGCCTCTACCTTTCACTTGTTGCACAACCATTAGGGCTGCTCCAAACAAGGATAATGGGTTTTTCACTCACTCCTTCATTCTGGTCTCTCCTTGCACAAATACCATCCCATGTGCACAGAATTCTAAGGCAACAAACTAATGCAAGCCTGTGATGCTCTGTTGCCCTAATATGTATCTTTGGGCATACTTGTAAGCAATTTATAGATTTGAAGGAGTAAGAAAACATGGCACCTGGTGTAGAAGAGCCTAATGGTAGTCTTGAGTATGGATAATCCTTGAGAGAACTGATATAAGAACCCTACTATCACTTGCTGATTATTGCAAGGTTGGTTGGTAAAGTACATGTAATTAAACTGTTCTGAAAATGTGTACTCATTGCAAGCCTCAATGTCCTGATATCTAGGTGGGACTCTCAACCAGGTTATACTTTTGTGAGAAGAGGCGATGGACATGATTATAGCATTTAATTTCCTGTGCATTCCTGAAACTTGAACAACTCCCTAATTTAACATGTTAAAAAAGATTAAACATTTTATTTCTGAAATTCCACTTGTGGAGCAATTATTTATCTAGTAGTGCTTCCCAGGGATTTAAAAACAATTTCTTCCCAGTATAAATCATAAAAAAAATAAAATAAAATAAAAAAAAATTAAATTGCTTATGGCTAAGTGGGAATAACGGTGATGGGGAAGAGATCTTGTATACATGAAGAAATCAAAGGAAAGCTAATGACTAAAGCTTGTTCTGTGGTCATTTATGGTTTGAATGGTAACATCTGTCAAGTCACAGGTCAGTGGAAAATTTTTGTATCTGTATGAGATATTACAGTCTTAATTCAAGAATGCTCTCATATCACAAGACATAGCAAGGACATTCCTTTATAGAATGGAAATGAAATATACTTTTCTTTATTCTGGCAGGTAAATGTATGTACGCTTCAAAAGAATGCCTTTCTATTTAGATCACCTAACAAGTAATTTCCAGCTCTTCAGTTGTCAAACAATCTGATTTAAAGCTGACCCTTTTTCTTTAGGGACCTCTCACTCACTTGAAGTTAATAGCTCTCTAAGGTAAGAGTTGTGAAATGTAAAGACTTTTTTTTTTCAGTATTGAAATTTTACTGGAGATTAATATATCTAAACTAAATCTTTATTTATATCATTTCATCTCACTGTGTAGTTCCAAATATGTGCTGCATCTTAAAACATCCTGGAATCTTAGTCTAGCTACATAGCTTTTTAATAAGGTTTGTATTTTATCACACAATATTTTTTCAAGCAGACCTTTTCAGAAGCAAAGCCAAATTTATATAAAAAAACTGCTTAACCCGTGTTAAAAAAGAAGTCATGCCACGCTAATTGCTAAGATACAGGCCCTTAACCATTTGTGACTATATAGGTTTAACACCTGCTTCTGCCCTAAATATTTTACCATAGGAAAGTTTTAATTGACTGGTTTGGAAACCATCTTCTTACATTTTGGCATGTCTACACATGACACTTTAATGCAAATTAGCCTAAATGAATGCAGATTAAGGGCACATGTCTACACATGTGTACCTTTAATGCAGATAAAAAATGGCGAATTTAGGCTATTTGTGCCTAAACTTGATATCTGCATTTGATGCAGGTATCACATTTAGGACAAATAGTTAAAGAGCATTAATGAACGTGTAGACGCATTAAAGCAAATTAATATTGTGTGTTTCGACTGACTTGGGGACTAACTTTAGTCCCAAATCGGTCCCCACACAGCATTAATGCATTTTAATGCCTGCACTTGTAGACACCTGCCTAAACCCACTTAATGCGCATTAAGATAAGGTTCATTAAATTTAGGTACGCTTACATGCACACAGGCATGCCCATAGTTCTGTATTAAATCCAGTACTGTTGACAGGAGTTATAATTCATGGATAAATGGCTTGTCTAGTTGGATGAAGGCATAGGTTTATCCCAGTATTAGATGCTTTGGAGGCAAGTGCAAAACAACTTCAGTGGACAGTTATGGAATATCCTGTTCATAGAGGAATTTCGTGTCAATTCCCAGCTCTTACTAATTTGCCTTATGTGTAAAACATGAGGTTTTATATCAGTCAAATCAAATAAAAGAATGTATGTCCTAGAAACTAATGTTCTCTAGCAATAACACTGTGCAAAGTGTATTTTCTGAATCTTATTTGGTGCTTTTTCCATGGTAGCTGGTGGTAGGAAGACATTCTTCAGGATAAAACTACAGGATAATATGAATTTCAATATGCCAATGTTCTTGCCCTGTAAACAGGAGTTTGGTTCGTCTTTCATATACCATTTTAATATGCATACTTCTAGCCAGGCCCCTCTAAACAACTTTAGTCTTTCATCCTTCCTCATAAAGTTTCTTCATGTCTTTAGATTTCATTCCCTGTTTGAACACTTATGTTCTTTCCAAGAGAGGTTGCTCAGAACTGAACAGTGTAGGAAATAATGGTGTACGATTAATCTGTACTTGGGCCACTAGAAGACAGCACAAGTGACACCTTCCAAAACAACTCTACAAAAACAAGTTGCTGTTCTTAAATATTTGGGCATTGGCAATTGGACTAATCTTCAGTAATAAAGACCTTTTTAATGAAATCCCAACCTCTCCAGCCCTCTAAAAGACCAGCAGAGCCCAGCAGCTTAATCTTGTAGGTAGATTACTGAGTCACTTTAGGAGAAAATGGGCATATTTTTTGAGGCATCTTCAAAAGATGTTTTGGGTTTTCAGATATGATCCTTTGCACTTCTTGCTGAGGCCAGCTTCCATGGAGACCCCAGCAGTGGCAGTGCCATGACACCATGGGGCTAGGGTTCCCATGGAGACTGGCCCCAGTGGCGGTGGTAGGGCATGCAGCTGGGCAGGGAGCTGCTCTGGGGACTGGGGCTAGGATCTTGCAGTGGTGATAGCCTGGTCCAGAGCTGGGATTCACTGCCTGCACACCCATCCAGGGCATGCAGGCAGCGAATAGCAGCTCTGCCACACTGTCACTGCTGCAACGTCCTGGCCCCAGAGCAACTCCCTACTCTGCCACATGCCCTCCCAGTGCTGCTGGGGCTGGTCTCCATGGATACCCTGGCCTGCACTGTCACATGCCACTGGTGCCAGGGTCTCCATGGAAACCAGCCACAGTGATGCTGCTGGGAAATGGAGTCTGCTGCAGGCCCAATCTGGCCCAGGGGCTGGACTTTGCCTGCCTCTGGCCTGACTGGTGGCATGCCTGCCACCACTTTCTAGACGACTGGAAGTGCACAAGAAAAGCATTTGTCTTAATAGATACAGGAAAATTAAATCGTCCAATATTGCTACTTGAAAAGATAATTGTTTAATGGTGTGCTCAGTTAATTTGTAAACAGAAGATAACAAGGTGATAAATAAGAGTTGATATGGATTTGTTAAGGTCAAAATGTCTAACCCACTTCTTTTCCTTCTGTAAAGAGGTAACTGGTCTTGTGGATGGGAGGGAACAGTGGATGTGATATACCTTGACCTTTAAGACCTAAACTACAATTGGTTGCTGGTTAAGCTCTACCATTTTGTATTAAAGATTTGATTAGTATTCAAAGTGAACTGGAAACATGAAAAGAAGTACAAGCTCAGGCTGAAAAAAGGCAAGTTGGGGTGCTGACTGACATTGATGACTTGTAGGGGGTGCATGCCAGGTACATGTGCACCCCCTGAGCTTTGCCCAGAACCCCCTGCAAAAAGGTGCTGCCGACACTGCAGGCGGCACCTGTGGGTGGTCGCTGCTCACCGCTGTTGGTGGCATCTGCGGGTGGTCTGTGATTGCTGCTGGCCGCCACTGATGCTGCCAGCTGGTCAGCGCTCACAGTGTCTTTCCCCTCCCTGCCAACAGCACTGCGGTCGCCTGCAGGAACTCCGTTTGCTGCTGCCATGCTCCTGCCACCAACAACACCGCCACCTCCTGGAGGAGCTCACCGTCCCCCTCAACCTCTGCGGGCACGCGGCATTCATGACGGCAGATATGCAGCTTCCTGGTCCAACTCATGGCACTTTGCAGGAAGTACCG